TGCCTTAGTTGGAAATGACTTGAAGGCACACAACAACAATAACAACAAAGTCCCATTTTAACCCCAGCTTTAGAGGAGCTGTCCAAGGTACCAACTCCATTCCATAAATTGGATCAGCATCTTGGATCGTTCTCATTTAAATCTAGCAAAACCTGACATGGATTCTTCAGCCCAGTGAGATGCGAGCTACCAGCTGCCACTGTTCCAACCTACTTCTGAAGACTTCTTCTCCATTGGTCTTTTAGCTTTTGCCCCTTTTTCTAACTCTGTCGTTGAATAATAGTTATGCAAACAGGATCTTGGGACTCAGAGCTTAGGAATTTTGCTTTTGAAATACAACTTGCAGAATCCTTGTCGCCGTACGGCTGCTGCACTTTGGGGAATTGTAGTCCCAAAAAGTGACTTTGCTAACAGTGTAAGCCGCTTTGGGTCTCATTTTGGGACAAAAATGTCATAGACAGTACAACCTCCATATCTGAGGGGGACACAGTCCTGGACTTACCGTGGAAATGCAAAACCATGGATAATAGCGAACCTGATTGAAATGAATGACATCTGGTGGAATCACAGAACTGCATTGGAGGACCTAGAAAATGCCTAGAGAGAATACCTCTCTAGGAATCTCTAGGTCTTCCAACACAACTCTATGGTCAACTTTTCACAGAGGCATACCACAGAATCACAGTGGAGGACCTAGAAAATGCCTGGAAAGAACATGTTTTTTCAGATGTGGGTAGATGAAACTGCAGGTACTGGCCCCATAGATATAGGGATCATACTGTAAATCAAATAGATAAATAAATATTTTTTAAAAGGTGTGTTCAAACATGCTTAGTAAGACATATTATTTGATAGACCCCTCCATCCTTTCATTCAAGATACACAAGGACTGGATGTTTTATTGCAACTCTTCAGTGAGCAAGAAGAGCCATTCTGCACATGCTCAACAACTCTGCTTTGTGCAGATCCTTCTAGTGCTGCAAAGCCATTTTTTTCTTTCTCTGCAGACGTCCAACCTTTTCAGCCCCAAAGACAGTGGTGGCTGGTACCTCAGAGAGGATATGCATCTGCTTTAGGACCTACTTTAGAACTTACTTTAGGAGGATAACTTCTCCAAAATTCATACTACGACCCAGGGCAGATACACTTCTCAACTGGCATGGAAGCCATTAGCCCCTGCTATTTGGGTTAATACAAGCCCTTTGCCAGAATTCCCAAATAACATCTCATCTATCAATACTATCCATTTACAGGAGGGTTTTACCAGATGGTAAACCCTTGCCCTGAGAGGCTTACAATTAAAAACATAAAGACACAGGGCAATGACAATGGGGGGGCGGGAAAGGGAAACAAGAACCCAGGGATGAACAGAGGAGCATCCTGCAAACATTTCCATCCCACACCCCCTGGATTTAGATAGACATGGGCAAGAGTAGGCAACTTGGTGCCCTCCAGATGTTTTGGATTACAACCCTGATAACCCCTGGGACTGGCCCTGCTGTGCTGGGTTTATGGGAGTTGTAGTCCATGGCTTGGTGAAAAACCCAGTCTGTTCCTCAATTGAAAAAGGTCGGCCACCATTTTCTGAATTCTCTTGTGTATATAACTATCCCTTTTGCAAAATGGCTTCTGTACTATATCTGCATATATGCTTCAAAGAAAGCTCCAGAAAAGAGGCGTTCTCCTAATTTGTATCTCAAGCTTCTTGTTCTCTCTCTCTCTCTCTCTCTGTAGAATTCAAAGACATGTTCGCCTGGAAAATCAGTATGCAAAGGGATTTTGTAGCACCTTTGAGACTAAGTGAAAGAAAGAAGCTGGTAGCATGAGCTTTCATAGACTTTCATAGACTATGAGCTTTCATAGACTTGAGCCTACTTCGTCTGTTCCTGGACCATCCTCCCCATGCATCTGAGGAAGTAGACTCACGTCTACAAAAGCTCATGCCACCAACTTCTTTTTTCCAGTTAGTCTCCAAGGTGCTACAAGATCCCTTTGGCAACTATCCATCTATCAATTTATCCGTCTATCTATCTATCTATCTATCTATCTATCTATCTATCTATCCCTTCCCTCCTGTGCAAACACTTTATCTTATGATAATACCAAAAAGCAGACCTCCTCCCAAACTGGTGGCCTCCAGGCCTTCTGGACAATAGACCTCACAATGCCATAGCTAGCAGATCAGGGAAAATGGCCAAACATTTTACCATCGCTTCATATACCAGGAAGCTCTCAGTGAGACAAGCAAAATGATGGGCATCACTTTGTCTTTAAAACTGAAATGGGGACTCCCCATGCCTCATGACTTTTCCTCCCTAAGGCTTCAGTGCCAAGGTGTCTCGAGGCTGCAGTGTCAATGGGGCTGTGGATCCAGTCCAAGTTTTCATTCAGACTTTGCTCTCCAAGGAGTAGATCCCATTCCCACAAAAAGGTAAAGCATCTTGGACAATGCCTTCAAAGTGGGGAGCAAACCAAAACGTGGATTTATCACCCCACTGACATGGAAGCTAAATCGGATACTTTTAATGATGGAGCCTTTTCTCTGCTTCTCCCAGTCCACCAGAATGGAAGCGGGTGGCAAATAAGGTGTGTGTGGGGGAATCTGAATGCTGGAAGTGCTTATCTGACTGACCCCTTTCATAGTTGATCAAGGAACAAATAGTCTTTCTCTCAGTACAAAGTTAAAAGCAAAGACAAAAACAAGAGTTGAGAAAGCGGAACAGAGATTTGTCTTTCAAACTGTAAAACCATGTGAAAAAACAAGAAACCAAAAGAATGATAGAAGGAGATATGCTCCTGCCCCACATCCTCCTCTCTTGTCCCCAAATCTACTCCACATGTTGGACAGGAGAAGGGAGAAGAAGCCAAATGAGAGCAAATATCTCTCCCCTCTCCTTGCAGCCCCTGCCGCAAAGATTCGAAGCCGGATGAAACAGAGCAGTGAGACATTTCGGAAAAATGTGGCCAGATACCAAGATGGCTAGGCCACGATCCAAAGGGTTATGAAAAGCAGATCAAGACTTCCAGTCGAGGAAAATGGGAAGCCACAAAGCTTCGTTCCCAGGGCAGATTTTATGAGAAAGGAAGAAAGGAGGGAGAAAAGGGATGTCAGTGAAGGGAACCATTGTTTTAAGTTTGCAGGGGCATATTCTGCAATGTGGGAATGCCACTCTGCTGCATGTGCTTGGAAACTCTTTCACAGCACCAACAACTTCTAGAAGAGAGGCAGGGCGCATAAGGCAGTCCACACACGTTGGCAGACTTTAAGCTCCATCATCTCTAGGGACCCAAAGTGCTGGATGGGGATGATGAGAGTTGCAGTCCAATCTGGAGGGTTTTGTAGGTACCCCACCCTTCCTGCACATGTATATGTGCCTTTTGGTCGCCGGTAAACTTATGGCATAAGCTTTGAGCTTATTGAAGATTCAAAACTGGAGTGAGAACCATGCAGCTCACCAGACATTATTGGACTGGAGCCCCCAGCATTCATTGATTGTGAGGTGTAAGGCTGCTGGGAATTGCAGTCCAGCAACATCAGAGGGGCTGCATGATTCCCACCCACAAGGCTTATCTGTCCCACTTCCAAGAAAGGATCATTTCAGATGAAGAGCGAAAGCAGAGAGGCACGCAGGTCTTGGGTTCAGTTCCCAATACTTCTAGGTAGGATTTGGGAAGATTCTTATCTGAAATCTTGGGGCATTGCTGGAAGCCTATGTTGGAAGTATTGGCCTCCTTGGGCTCATAGCTGCTTCTGTGGCTTCCTACAAACAGAAACCTAGATAGCCCTTCAGATGTGCTATAATCAGGATTATAGCTATTGGGGAGTGGGGAGAGAAGCCCATTGCCCCATAATAAAATTCTCTCCCCCTTGTGAAATTTTCCTTCATTCCTCAAATTTCTATCATTCCAGAGAGTCAGAAGGCAAGAATCGTCCACACCTAGAACTCTTCTGTTCTTATTAGATGAGGCAATGGCCTCATTTACCCCTTCAGCTACACTCTGTCTACAGTCCAGCACATCTGGAGGACATCAGGTCAGAAAAGTCTGCTCTATAAAATCACCAGATGAGCTTCACCTTTAACAAAGTGGCTGCGGCCAATGTTAAAAAAGTCTTTCCCCTTACAAAAATCCATCCATATCTACAAAGGCTACATGCTGGGGCGGGGTGGGGGTGGGGAGTGGGGTTGCCAAATGACCGGTGAAAGCTCTGTCTGTTCTGCCGCACTGACTTTCTTACTCCTGTCCTCCTGAAATCCTCCCTTTTTTGATCCCTGCAATTGCTGTTCAAAAGCTGTGAACTGATTTTTGCATGTTTTTGCCCTCTTTGTGTTGGGAGAGGAAATCGCAATGAGTCATATAGGCTCAAAGCAGATGGGATGAAGGAAGAGCGAGGATTCTGTTCCATCACATTTGTGTGTGGGTATGTGTGTTTTTTAAAAACGCTAACCATCAGCTCCAGGCAGAAAATCTGGGAAATGAATCTATGGCAGAATAGAAACACGAGCCCTCCCCACTCTGGAAGATGCTATCAAATCTGCAGAGAAAAGAGAGAAATGTGAATGGAGGTGGGTGGCAGGACTGGCATCTAAAAATGGCAGGAGAGGGAGAGAACAAAAGGTCTTGACTCCCAAGAACCCTTTCCCCAGTTTCCAAAGGAGACCCATTGCACAGGGCAAACCCATGGAAGAGAAGGAAAGAAGTGAAGAAGGGATAGATAGGTTGGAGCCTGTGAGTTTTGAGATCCTCTGAGAACATTCCCTTTGCAAATTGCCCCCCATTTACTGGACACCCCAACTTTATGATTCCACTCCCTTTTTTTTGTGGCTGGGGTCTCCTATTTCAATTGTTGCGTGCCTTCAAGTCATTTCTGACTTATGTAGACCCTAAGGCAAACCTATCATGGGGTGTTCTTGGCAAGATTTCTTCAGAGGGAGATTGCCATTGCCACCCTCTGAAGCTGTGAGAGTGTGACTTGCCTAAGGTCACCCAATGGGTTTGCATGGTCAAGCAGAGATTTGAATTCTGGCCTCCAGAGTCTCAGCCCAGCGCTCAAACCACTACACCATAGGACTGTTAATTTGTGCCTGGTTTTCATCTGAATTTGCAAAGAACTTTCTAAGGTGATGAACTGATTGGCAGGCAAGATAGGGTTCAACACCTTGGAATGGTTCTTGGAGTTTCAGATGAAAACCCATCACCCACTGACTTCATGCTCTGCATGGAAGCCACCAGCTCTCTGCCACATGTCATGGCTCACTTGGATCCACTCTTATCCTTGTCTTTGTTGTTGTTATTTCTGGGCTATGGTGACCCAATCATAGGGTGTTCTTGGCAAGATTTGCTCAAAAGGGGTTGTGTCCTTGTCTTCTTCTGAGGCTGAGTATGACTTGCCCAAGGTCACCTAGTGTGGTTTTCCATGGCCAAGCCGGGATTTGAACCCTGGTTTCCAGAGTTGCAGTCCAAAGAATATGGATGGCCATATTCCAAAGGAGAGAAGGCTCTCCTGCACCTTTAATACTTGTCTAGAGGAGCAGATTTCAACAGGGGTTCCTAGCATGGAACCAGACCTGTTGAAAAATCCCTCCTCCACACCACTGTCAAAGATGCATGAGTCCTATCTCTACAACAATCAATCAATCAATCAATCATCTGGCCATCCTACTTCTGCAGCCCTCTCTTTCTCTCATCCTGGGAACAGAGAGATAATAAGCACTGAAAAACTGAGGTCCAAATGGGAATCTAGAGGGTGGCATCAGGATGTTCAGAGTTGCTCTAGGATTTGCAGTATTGCAAATATGGCAAATGCCCTAAAAGGATCAGATCCAGTCTGATCTTGGAAGCTAAGCAGGGTCAGCCCTGGTTAATACTTGGATGAGAGACTGCCAATGAATACCAGATGCTCTAAGGTATATTTCAGAGTAAGGGACTGACTAAAATGACCTGTAATGATTCTTTGCCTAAGAAAACCCTATGAAATCCATGGGGTTTCCATAAGTCGACAGGTAACTTGAAGGCACACATGCACACTCACACCCAAAAAGAGGTTTGCGCATGCTCAGTTGCCATGAATTGTTGAAAGTCAGTTGGCAGAGGAAAAATGGAACAGGGCAGGGCACAGATGGGAATGTGGAGAGGCTGAGCTGCAAGATTTGAAAAAAACAGGTCCCAGGTGCAATGGTCCCAGTGGCACAAATCTATGGATAGGTTCAGGACTTTAATCAGAGCCAGACTAGATCAGTATAGTTCCCCATCCTGCAAAATAATTCTCCACAATACTGGAGACAAATGATTTAAGGCTTTCAGTATAGACAGGACAACAATTTATGGCCAGCCTGCAATCCTGGCCTGGATTTTTCTCTTGCAATGACTGCAGGGATGACTGAAGGATTGTGCTGCAAGATGCACAAGGATGCCTTTTAATGCAAAGCAAGCAAGCAAACAAACAAACCCCCAGAAATGTCACCGGACCAAAAGAGAGCTGGTTTAGTTTTGTACATGCCCAGGTGGCAAGGGAGTCATCTGGACAAATGCAGGTAGCTCCTGAAGAAGATCACCAAAACACTGAGCCTGCATGAAAAAGAAAACCTCATATTTTCCAGTCTTGTGATCCCTTTTACATGCACTTCTTGTACTGGCAGGGGTTAGACGACATGACCCTCAGGGTCCCTTCCAAATCTATGTCACAGGGCCACAGTCATAGAGGTGAGTGAGAAACATCTGTCTGCCCAACATCTGTGCCATTGAAAGAACTATGTTGGCATGAGACGGTTCTTATGATGCACACTGCAAAGTCAAAGTGATGCACTTCATGCACTGGCAGGAGGTTGGGTTAGGGTCCCTTACAACTTTATATTTCTCAGTAAAAGTCCCACCAGTGCAAAAACAAGTAGGTGGGTGAGGAACGTCTGTCTGGCCAACATCTGTGTGATCAAAGGACCTATATTGGCATGGCGGGAGCTTTCCTATGACACAAAAAGCTCCCCCCCAATGCCATGTGGCACAGACAAGGACTAGACCTTGAGGGTCCTTGCCAACTTTATAGTTCTGTGTCACAGAGACTCAAGCAAGGCAAATATGGCATGCAAGGGAGACGCCTCTGCCTGCCTCATGTCTGTGTTACAAAAGGGTTTATTGACATGAGGGTCCTCTGGCCAAAGAGAAAAAGACTGTATTAGTTATTTTTCTTTCCCCTCTTGAGTGTAACAATAGTGGCTCCATCTCTAAATAAATTCGCCTCTGCTCATACTTCCCAACTCCCTCACCATCCTCTGCTAATGCTGATCCCTTGTAGGTTGAAGGACCCAGTCCCTATGTCTACACTGTGCCACCTGGTGCCACTTGCCACAGCCAGAAAAGGAGCAGGTGGCAAAGGTGCCAACCCTTGCACAATGGAACTGGACAAAATAAAAAACAGAGCAGAGCAGAAATTGAGAGGGGCACGTTGCTGCCTCCTTCTGTGAGGACTGCAGAGCGTTGTGCCAGATGTGCCCTGGCACCCTGGCAAAGAAGAGGAGAAAGAAGAGATCGAGTTACTGCTTTCCCAGCACACGTTTCTCCCTGTGGCACCACTGCGGCAAATTTCCCAGAGTACGTGGGGTTTGGAAGGATGGGGAGCTAGTAGATTTCAAAGCCCAATGTGTGTGTGTGTGTGTGTGAATGTGCCTTCAATTGCCTGTCAACTTATGGCAACTTACCCCAAGAATTTCATAGGGTGTTAGGCAAGGAAGAGATGGTTTTGCCAGTTCCTTCCTCTGAAATACAGCCTCCAGCGCCTAGGATTCATTGATGGTCTCTCCTCCCTAGTACTAACCAGGGCTGACCCAGCTTAGCTTTCAAGATAGGACAGAAGTGGGTGCCTTTAGGGTATTGCCCTGGTTTAATCTGCAGTTTTAGAAAAACACTGCAGGATTGGATCCCCCTGAGTGGTGCAGACTAAATCTGCACTCTTCTAGCCAGCCGCCTGCCTCCTCTTTCCAACATGGTGGTGCATAATTTGTGTGTGTGTGTGCAAGCATGCATGTATGTGCGGAGTAAGCAGGAGAAGCAGAGAAAATGGAAGGAGGAAGGAAGGGTGTTGCATCCTTCCCCTCCAAGAGTCCTTCAAGCAGAGTTTTTGTGCACCCAAAAGATTTGACAGCTGGGACAAAAAAGACACTGCACTGACCCAAATCTTTCTTCCTTGAAAGCTGCACAAGGAGGACACCAAGTGGGTCAGGAAGGCAGGAGAAGAAGCCAAGCATCCTCTGCTGCCTGGCGGAAGGAAGGAAGGAAGGAAGGAAGGAAGGAAGGAAGGAAGGAGAGAGCACCTTAATTCCCCTAATTTCTCTCCTTTCCCCCTTTTTTGCTTAGGGCTCCTAGCCTTCCCTTCCCCCTTCTCTCCCTCTCTTTCTGCCATCATCCCAAAGGATGATCCTCCAAGCTCTTGTGGGTCTCCTTCACCTCCTTTGCCCTCCCTATTCCCTCTTTCCTGCCCCTCCAAACATTAATGCCCCTTCAATCAATCCCACCATCCTTGACACCTTTTGCATCCTAGGCACCATCCTATAATGCAGTGGCTCCCAAACTTTGGTCCTCCAGGTCTTTTGGACCTCAGCTCCCAGAATCCCTGATCACTGGCCAAGCTGGCTGTGGCTTCTGGGAGTTGAAGTCAGAATGACCTAGAGGGGCAAAATGTGGGAACCACTGCTATAATGCATGCTCAATGCAACATACCAAATGCTACTATAGGACTGCAGGACTCTAAAAAATGTCCTCCCACTCCCCCCTTTTTCTCTCCAGGACTTTGCCTTCCCCTTCCCTTCCTGTATAGCCTTCTCCTTCTGCTTTGCAGATACCATGCAGGCTGGCTTGCCTATTGCTTGCCTATTGGTCCTAGGATCTCAGACCTCCCTCCACTCCTCTTTTCCTCTCCTCCATCTTCTCTTTCCCTTCTCCATCTTTCAATCTCTTCACCCTCCACCACCTCCATCTTTAGACATCTCCACCTTTCCTCTTGCCAACCCCTTCTCCTTTTTCTTCGACAAATCCCTCTGCCCTTTCTCTGCATCCTCCTTTTTTTGCATCTCCCTTTTACACCCTCCTTTCTTAGCATCCCCCCATTCTCTGCATCCCTCTCCTTTGGCATCCTCCTTTCTTTGCATCCCCCTTTTCACTCTCCTTTCTTTGCATCCCTCTTTCTTTGCATCTCCCTTTTGCATCCTCCTTTCTTAGCACCCTCCCTTCTTTGCATCCATCCTTTTCACCCCCATTTCTTAGCACCCCCCTTTTGCACCCTCCTTTCTTAACATCCCACTGTCTCTGCATCCCTCTTTTTGCACCCTCTTTTCTTCGCATCCCCCATTCTCTGCATCCCTCTCCTTTTGCATCCTCCTTTCTTTGCATCCTCCCTTCTTTGCATCCATCCTTTTCATCCTCCTTTCTTAGCATCCCCCTTTCTTTGCATCCTCCTTTCTTAGCATCCCTCCTTTCTCTGCACCCCTCTCTTTTTGCATCCTCCTTTCTTTGCCCCCCAGCCTCCCATTGCACAGCGATCCGTTTACCTGCGTCTCTGCGCGGCTGCTGCTCCTGCAAACTGGGGAGGGCAGAGACCCAGGTACCAGACTGACAGCCCAGAGGGGGCGGGGCCCCAAGTGAGGCCCCGCCCACGGCCCCGCCCCCTGCAGTACATTTCTGCAGAGATGAAGCTGGGACCAGTTTTGCAGGATGGGGACAGAGGGGCAAGCAGTGCTTCCTCCATTCAGACCTTGTTGTTGCATGCCTTCAAGTTCTTATGGTCATTCTATCACAAGGTTTTCTTGGCAGGATTTCATCAGAGGTGTTTGGGTTTTGTTTTTTGTTTTGCCTTTGCCTCCCTCTGAGGCTGAGAGAGTGTGACTTGCTCCTCTCGAAACTGCCAGTCCCAGGATTCCACAGTGTAGTGTGATGTTGCCCATCATGATACTTGGATTGGACAAAGACCCTTCCTCACTTATGCACATGCTGAAGCTCTTCATTTGCCTTTGGGTGGCTCTCTCCCAAAGTTGAAAATCTTTAAGAGAGAATGTCTGTTAGTCCCAAAGGAGGAGTGACCTAA